GAAAATACGAATTTTCTTCATTTCTACACAGATCACATGAAAATTAATGTGGTCTTGATGGCACAAGTTCCTAGTTACGAGCACCTGCTGTCATGGCTGTTAAGTTGTGTAAATGTGATTTGACCTCTGTGCTGGCGCTGACATTCTAAGCAATTTGGGTTTGGGATTTTTCCCCTATGTGTGTTTGCTTTTTATAGTTTCTACTTAGCTAATAGGTTTCAGCTGTCACTTCTCATTAGCATCACTATGCTTAACTCTGTACCTTCGCTTCTCACTATTCCTATATTTAGTTGCTTCTAATCTGGTTAGAATATCAGATAAGCAAGGCTCTTAGATTTGTTTCCCAAGGACAAGTAAAAGACTGAGTTGTGACTCTTTAGAGTTCTGTTTTTAAAAACCCTGCAGTGGCTGATGCATCTGCCTTTTCCCTCTTCCCTTGCTGGGGGTGAGGGTTACATAGAAACTGATGCTGAAACATGTTCCTTTTCAGTATTACTGTGTGACATCTTCAGGAAGTTTGGACTAATGGTAATGAACTTTAAAAAAGCACATTCTCTGTGAGGACAGAAACTGAACTAACAGCTTTCATTTTCTTCATGCTTTCCCAGTTTTTTTTTTGTGTGTGGCATCTGCTACAGCAACATAAACCATAACTGCAGTTTCTTTACCTGCACATAACATAAGGATGTAAAAGGAATGGAAATGAATGCTGTGTTTTGCTTTAGACAGTCAATGATCTTTTATAGAAATTAAAATGAGAAAGTCATTCATCCACGATTATCTTAAGTAATCATTTCTTCATGTAAATTCAAGTTTCTAGTTAGTATCATTTTCCTTTGACCTGAAGCTCTTCCTTTAACATTTCTTGGGGTGTGGGTCTGCTGGTGATGAATCCCATTTTAAAAAGTTTGTCTGGGACCTCCCTGGTGGTGTAGGGGTTAAAGTCTCAATGCTCTCAAGCTATCACCAGCCACTGCATGAGTTTGATCTCTGGCTAGGGAGCTACCCACACGGTGCAGCAGACCTCTCCTGTCTCACCCGCCGTTCCCCTCAGCAGTGTGTTTCAGTGGATCCGCCTTTTCTGCTCCCCATTCTTATCTGGTGAATCCTCTCACCCCCGTATCTCTGGCCTACATCCCAGTTCTTGTATGCATAAATAAATCTTAAAAAGTTTGTCTGAATAAGTATTTGGCCTTTATTCTTTAAAGATGTTTTTGTTAAATCTAGAATTCTAGGTTAATATTTCCCCTTTACCATTTTTAGCATGTTGTAGCTTTGTCTTCTGACTTTTGAAAGAAGTCTACTATCATTTTGTTTTTCTGTATGTAATGTGTCTTCTTCCCTGTGTCTCCTGTTGTTGGGAGAACAATTTCACATGTGTTAGACTGCTACACATTATCCCATTCCACAGGCATTTAAGACTTTAGTCCTCATTTATTTATTTTAGCCTTTTTCTTTTTGTCTTTGTGTAATTTTGGTTAAGTTGTGTTGCTATGTGTTTAAATTCCCTGATTTTTTTTTTTCCTTCTGCAGTGTGTAATCTGTTAATCCCAGTCAATGAAATTTTCCTTTCAGATACTGTATTTTCTTCAGTTCTAAAAGTTCCATTTTAAAAGATTTTTTTAAAACCTTTTCTCATTATATGTTCCTTAATAATTGAACATAGTTATGTTAATATTCTTACCTGCTAATTCCATCACCTCTGACATTTCTTAGTTACTGGTTTGTTTGTTTGGTTTTTTTTTTTTTTTTTTACTTTTTTTCCTCTCCTGATTATAGCCCATGTTTTCCTGCTTCTTGTCAGGACATTTTGATTAGATGTTGGGTATTGTGAATGTTACATTCTTGAGTGTCTCAGTTCGGTTGTATTCCTTTAAAGATAGTTAAGCTTTGGTTTGACAAAGTAGTTATTTGTAAATCTCTCTGACCCCAGGTTTAGTGTAACCTTCACTCCAGAAATAGGTTAAGTCCCTTCCACTGAGCTCTCCCCTTTCTGGGGCATTTCTGCTGAATGTTGGGGAGTCTCTGAGAACATTCAATTTAGTGCCAAAGCATCTCTTTACTTTGTGTAAACTTTGGGAATTACTCCGTTTACAGCTTCCTTGTCATTATTTCCCCTGCTTTGTGAGATTTTACACACAAGGATGGCCTAGTGAGCACTGTATTTCTTGAGCTCTTTTTCTGTGTAGCTTTCCCTTTTGTGGCAATCTGTTCTTTAATTTCCAGCCACCACAACTTCCCCGCACTATGATACTCCTTTTCAGTTTATTTTTTTTTAAAGATTTATTTATGCATACAAGAACTGGGAAACAGGCCAAAAGTGTGGACGGGGGGGAGAGGAATCACCAGAGTGGGGAACAGAACAGGCAGATTGACTGAAATACACTGCTGAGGGGAGCAGCGGGCGAGTCAGGAGAGGTCTGCTGTGCCATGTGGGTTGCTCCCTGGCTGGCCGGTGGTTCAAACTCGTGCTGCAGAGGTTGCGGAAGCTTCATAGGTTGTGTCTTAACCCCTTGCGCCACCAGGGAGGCCCCCCTTTCTCAGTTTAGCAAGACTGCCCGGTTCAATTTCGTATCACCTTTCTTGTACTTAGTCGTAATGGAAAAAGCAGAAAGTTGGGGTGATTGTATAGCTCACCTTGTTTGTTTCCTTTCTGTCAGGGACCCACAGTTCCACACTGCCTGTTGTCCTGTCTGAAAGTAGTTCTTTTATACATTCTGTCTGGTTTCTAGAAAGCTATTTACTATAAGAGGTTAAGTCTGATCCTTGCTAGTCAATTGTTGCTGCAAGCAGAAATCCCAGGAATTCCAGTGAAATTGGTTCATTGAAAACTCTCAGTAACTGAATGTAGCTATCAATGGTGTGCCCCTCACTGTGTTAGAAGGACTAAACTACTAACTACCATTTACATAAAATTTTGAGTGAAGCATGATAGTGTCCTCATTTCCCCCCATTTGTCATTTACCTGTCCACAGACTGGGATTATTACTGTTCTGAACACAGTAATGGTTATAGTTATTCAACATGATTGATTCATGACAAAGGTTCAATTGCTTTTGGGGCTTGCTTGCCAGAGGCAGTTAAGTGAAGATCAGTCTTTATCACTGCTAATGATGGCAGTGACTTATTTTTTTTTAAAGACTTATTTTTTATTTATGCATACAAAAGCTGGGGTGTAGGCCAGAGATGCAGGATGGTGAGAGGATTCGCCAGAGACAGAGTGGGGAACAGAACAGGCAGATCCACTGAAATACACTGCTGAGGGGAGCAGTAGGCGATACAGGAGAGGTCTGCTGCGCCATGTGGGTCACCTCCCTGGCTGGGGATCGAAGTTGTGCTGCAGTGGTTGTGGATAGCTTCAAAATGCTGCATCTTAACCCCTTGTGTCACCAGGGAGGCCCTGGCAGTGGCTTATTTGGGTTCTTCTTGTCCTTTGCACCACACTGAAATTTACTCAGGAAGGACCTTGTTATTGTGCCTTGCACTTTAAGAATCACCTTTTGAATTCACATGTCAAGTCTATGCTATAGACAATAAGAAAGTGAGGATGGGTTGAAAGAACCATCTGTGAATCACCATAACTTTGATACAGAGGTGTGGAAGATTTAAAGTCTGCTGAAGGAAGTTCGTTTGCACAAAGATGTGCTTTTGTAAGAATACATTTCCCTTCCTTGATGTTGAAAAAAGAAGCCATGTAATTTGAAGTGGATTGTGGTGAGCACCAAGACTAGTAGGATCCAGAGTAGACACCAGATTTGGCTGTTGATAGTTTAGCTATGAAAGAAAAACAAGGTGCTACTTATATCTGTTTTCTGGTCAACATTTATTTGCTTCAGACATCTTGGTAAAGAGCTAATGCCCCTTTTCAGAAATCATGAATATTGCCAGCCACAGAAGTTAGTGTTCTTTTTAATTACTCTGCAGTTCTTTGTTTAGCTTCCTGAATGACTCACATTTGCTCTATATGCCCTTGGCACTCTGTACAGTGCATCGTGAAAGCTTTAATTTTGTGTCACCTAAATGGTTTCTAGAAATATGTTGACTTTTAACAGCTCAGCAAGGTTTTTTTTTTCTTTTTAACTTTAAATGCTACCTGAGGCGTATTAATTGGCTCCACTGCTGCTTAGAAAATTTAGAAATTAATGAACTTATGAAAAATGCTCAACCTCACTGAAAGGAAATACAAGGTTGAAGAAGCATTTTGGGTGGGTGTGGGGAAAAGCATATTAAATTGGTTAAAGTTTGAAAGTGACAATATTCAGTGTTTTGTGGCAAGGGTGTGGCAAGATGGGCGCCTCTTTGAACTTCCAGGAAAAAAATATTGATATGGCTTTTTCTGAAGGTATATTCATCAGAAAACTTTTATACCTTCAACCCAGTAATACTGCTTCTAGGGATTTTTTTTCCCATTAAAATTGTTAGAAATTCAGTCAGAATGCAAGTAGGAAGGTGTTTGTTGCAATATTATGTCTAAGGATTGGCTATTAGCACCATCTTTTTTATCTAACAATAAGAGAATATTTCAGTTGTGACATTTTCAAATGATAAAGTACTGTGCTTTTGTAATTCAAATGGTATTTAGGAAGAATATTTCATCAGATGGAATAATGGACATAGTTGGAATAAGCAATATTCCAAAAGTTCATAAAGTCTCATGTCAGTTTTTATTAAAACATGCCTCCAATAGTCAGAAATGTACCAAAGTGTTAAAGTAAGTTTCTATTGATAGGTGGTGATTTTATGAGATTGCTTTCTTCATTATCCTTTGTTTCCCAAAATTGGGATGGGAGAACATTTTAGATATGTGGAAACACACATGATGTAGCTACACCATGAACTTAACCTAAGCCTTTCTAGACCCTGGACGGATACCTCAGATCCCAAAAGATTTGTCAAGCTATTCATTTCTAAGACTAGTTACTGCTTTAAATTTAGGTGAAAAAGTACTAAAACAACAACAACAACAAAAACCCACAATGATTTCTGTTCTTACTCTTCAGATAAGAATTTTGATGATGAAGAATCTGTGGATGGTAATAGACCTTCATCTGCCAGTTCCACTTCATCTAAAGCTCCACCAAGCTCCCGGAGGAACGTTGGAATGGGGACCACCCGCCGGCTTGGGTCATCCACTCTTGGATCCAAGTCTTCAGGTGAGACCAACCCCCACATGGTATTGTAGCGCCCTCTGTTTCAGCTTTAAAAACCAGATGTACTTGGTACTCACCTTCTGTGTCCTTCAGAAGTGAAGTAATCCTGTTGGTGGGATATTTCTGCTTGCTTTTCTTTAATTAAGTTAGTACTATGCTGTCCATGCTGATCAGCTGGTAAGATGTAAGTCTGAGCTGCTGAGTCGCCACATTTGGGTAAGACAGAGCATATAGGAGCGTACAGCTGACAGAGGAAAGCATGCCCAAGAGAAGGAGAGTGAAGGTGCCCCCTGATGTCATTAGATGATTGGGATCCAGTAATACCATGGTGTCTTTTCAGCGAGTTTTCTTTATTAAGATTGAGACTGTCCAAAAATCAGATTGTACTTTCTGGCTTTAAAGTACACATTGTTCTTGTACGTAGCATTGTTCCTTATGAGACCAGTATGGATGTTGAATTAAAATAGATAGGGTAGGGAGTAGCCCTTCTCTTCCCCCCACCCCACGCCCTATTTTGATGGCTTCATTTTGCTGTCACATTTTAAATTTACATGCACAGTTCCCACTTTTTACTTCAAAAAAATTGCATAGCCACTTCTTTTAGGAGTCTGCTTGTTGCTAACCTTGGGCTTTTGAGCTAAGCACTGTATGGACTAAGTAAAAGCTGGCCTAAGTAGCAGCATGGGAATGCATCTTCTACTGGTCTCGCCTTCTGAAGAATGACCCTAGATTGCCAGTGTCTTGACTCCATCCACGTGGTGTCACTGCATGCCCTCCACCACCAGCATCTGTCTGTGTTAAAGGCGGTTTTTTGATGGGGAGAGTGATGTTAACATCAGGGATGACAAAAGAGAAAACTGAATTTCTTATAATTGTTGCTATTCTTGGTGCTTTCTTTATTGATGCATTTTTTCAAAAAAATTTCTTTTATTATTGAGCTTAAATTCACAGAACATGAATCATTTTAAAGGTGACAATTCAGTGGCATTTAGTATATTCAGTGTTGTGCAGCTGTCCTTTCTATCTAGTTCCAAAACATTTTGATCACTCCAGAGGAAACCCCACACCCTTATGACAGCGTCTCCCCATTTCTTCCTTCCCTGAGCCCCTACAATCAGCAGTCTGTATTTTCTCTGTATGTATTTACCTGTTTTTTTTTTTTAAGAAATGGAATCATGCAAGGTGTCATCTTTGTGCCTCTCTTCTTTCACTTATACATTGGTTTTGGAGTTCCTTTACGTTGTATTATGTATCAGAACTACATTTCTTTAATGGCTTTTTAGTTCTGTTCCTTCATCTGTTATTGGGTAACATCAGTTCCACGCACAAGACATGACATTTTCTGCATGATGAGACTGCTTTTCCTTCTTGTCCCTTACCCATACCCCTACCCAAAATCCCAGCTATTTAAATTAAGCAGTGATATCTGCCATGTCTACACCTCATTCCTTTTCTCTTCCTTTTTCCATTTGTTTAACATCATAGTTATGCATTTCATTGTTGGCTCCTTGTCAGATTCCTTGGGCTCAGGGACTGTGGTTGGTCTTTGAGACCTCTTCAGTATGTGACACAGTGCCTGGCACAGAGGAGGTACTCGGGACCCGTGTACTCAGTGTGATACGGCCCTCACATAAAGCACTGCATCACAGTGTTATACAATTATCTATTTGTGGTTAGCTAGGATACATGGAATTAGTAATCTGCATCAGGTCTGAGGACACACATTGCTACCAATTAGAATTTTCTTGAAAGCCCTTTTCCATCTAGGTACTCTATGTAGACCCTGAATACCCGATAATTTATCTGCTAAGAAACTCTAGCAAAGTACTGAGACTAAGCGATCTAAGTCATTTTACATTACAAGGAATGAGCATAGACACCCATTTAGAAACTATTCATGAAAAAAAAAGGTGTTAAAATGTCATCAGACTTTCATGAGTGAAGTGAAGTTCGTAGTAGGAAAAAGAAAAACTTCCTCCCAAAAACTTCCTCCCAAATGATAGCAATTATTTTTTTAAATGTACAAAGCATCTCACAACTTCATGGGGAAGAACTTGAAATGGATTCATAAATGAAAGAGTGACACGGGTGTCATGAACTCATAGAGATGGAAATGTTTTCAGACTGGTATAAAGTTGAGGTGGAATTCTTTATAATTTGTATTTCATAAATTTGTTGTGCTAGCTTCCTAAAAATAATATAATCTAATTTATTGCTTGACAATAATTTTTTTTGATCAGGAAAACAACAAGAACAACTATAATAAAAAAAAAATCTAGCAGGCAACCATAAATCAAGAGACATTCTGTGAGGGAGAGGGAAGAAAAGGGATCAAAACAGGGGCGAGAAGAGCACAAGGGACTACGGTGATGGTTCATGGGTGAATTGGTGGTGGGAATTTTACGGGGCATACACAATGATGTAAAAGAAATAAATTAAAGAAAGAAAATTTTTTTTGATAATATCTGTTTATTTAGGAATCTTTCAAAAGATTTGTACATTTATATAGTATAGATCATCGGCACAGGTGGTTGAGCGCAGTGCTGCAAAGCTATCCTCTGCCTCTGCAGCACAGGTTCGATCCTGGTTGTCCCAGGAGCTACCCACATGGCGCAGCAGAACTCTCCTGACTCCCCCGCTGCTCCCCTCAGCAGTGTATTTCAGTCAGTCTGCCTGTTCTGCTCCCCACTCTGTCTCTGGTGAATCCTCTCACCCTCCTGCACATCTGGCCGGTACACCAGTTCGTTGTATGCGTGAATAAATAAATCTAAAAAAAAAAAGGCTAGACTGCCAGCCCCTCCATATTTCCCCCCCACAAATGATCTCTTTAAATGACTGAGGTAGTGTGTACAATTTTATAGAATTACTAGGCTTCATTTTGATATTGAAAGTAATGTTTGTCAATTCCACCACAACTTAAAATTTTATTAAGCTGTTAGAAAAATGATTGCAAATCTTCTGACATGTAACTTTGATTATATAGTCAGACTCCTCCTCCAATGCACATTGTTTGCATTTTAAAAATTTATCTTTTTTTACAGCTGCAAAAGAAGGAGCCGGGGCTGTTGACGAAGAGGACTTTATTAAAGCATTTGATGATGTACCTGTAGTACAGGTAAGTGAGTATATTTGAATTTGATTATAAACGATAGGCTCTCTTCGAATTTCATTTTTCCAATCTGTGATATGTGGAGTTCCTTGCTAGATAAGGTAATTTTGACTATCAGGATTATAGAATATCTGAGGTTGAAGACTAGGAAATGTTGGAGCCTTTTATAGCTGAAATGAAGAGCAGAAGTCAAGGCCCAGAAAAGGTCTTTCACTAAGAACTAGAGAGAAGTTGCTTGCTTTAAAGTTTGAGAGTCAGGTCACACTAAGGAGAAAATAATTGATTAGATGAGAGTACTAAGAAGTATGCTTATTTAGGAATTTTTTTTTCTTATAAGAAAAATTCATACATTTGAAGGACTTCAGTGATCTGTGAATCGCTTGTTACCTGTTGCTTGATTGTCATCTATGTATAACTCAGGTAACAGACATCTTAGGCTCAGGTTCACCACTAAATCTTTGACCTTATCACAAGGGCTCACCTGTCTAAGATGTGAGGATGAATGAAAAAGTAAATTTGAAAGTAGCCTTCTTTCCTTTTTGTACATGAAACTTTCTGTTATGTTTATAATAAAACTGTGTTTGAGGGGAGGTTATCCATATGTGGGTATCAAATCTGGTGGGTATAGATTCATAATGGGAAAGAAGCTGATTCGAAGACAAATCTGTCATAAGTCCTTCTGAAAAATGAAATAGTTTCTTTTACTATGCTTAATGCTCTTGATTTCATGTATAAAGAAATAGTTTTTATTATGTAACTTTTCTTATATTAATTACAAATTAATTTTGCTTATAGATTTATTCCAGCCGAGACCTTGAGGAATCCATAAACAAGATTAGGGAAATATTATCTGATGACAAGCATGATTGGGAGCAAAGAGTAAATGCTGTAAGCTGTTTACTTCATTTTAAATATAAATGATCATACTTTCACTTTACCTTTTCAGTGCAGTATTTCAGATCTATATCTATTTTTATAACATGCCAAGTTATATGTTTGTGTACCTCCTATTTTTTTGGGGTTTTTTTTTTTTTTAATTTTTTACATCATCGTTCACCTCCTATACTTTTAGCAAAGACTTAACTGAAATGTCTCCACCCTTTACTCTCATCTACTAAAGATTCAATTCTGGGTCAGTAAGTTGACTTTTAGTGGCATTTTTCAATGAATCTCCCTTTATTCCCTTCTTCATATTACTTATTAGGAAGTTTTACCCCCTCTATTTTCCAAATTGGATTAATGAAAATAAGTGACTAAACATTCAAGTGAGACTGTGTCCTATCTGAGGAAAGGTGTTTTGTGTTGGTTGGCTGGCAAAAGAGAGGCGGTAAATTGCTGCTATCTCAAATTCAAACTAGCCTTTTAATAATGGTAGCAGATACTATGAAAAAACTGTAGGCTTGCATCTTTTTTGAATTCATTAAGTAAATGTTAGTTGGAGTGAGGTGTAAGGGAAGATAGGCTTAAGAAAAGAGCTTTCACAATCTAAAATTAATATTTTAGATATTTTCTCATTAGTATCATAGACTATGAAAACACTAAAATGTTTCCAAATTAAAAAATACATTCTGTAGAATTCTAATGTACCCATCCCACAATGCAGTATTTAAAAAATTCTTTGTTCTTATTTGTGCTATGTAGATTTGCTCAGTATATTAGCTAATTGGCTGAATTCTTTTAAGAAAACCATTTCTGCATCATTTATCTTTGATGTTGAGTTCTCATATCTAATAGCATCTATCATCTTGATATTCTGTCTTTAAGTTTTAACTCTTAATTTTCTCTATTCCATTAGCTAAAAAAGATTAGATCTTTGCTTTTGGCTGGTGCTGCTGAGTATGATAGCTTCTTTCAACATTTGCGTCTTTTGGATGGAGCCTTTAAACTATCTGCTAAGGATCTGCGGTCTCAGGTAGTGCGGGAGGCTTGTATCACATTGGGGTAAGGATTGCGATGCTCTGGATTCTCACACATCATAAACTACTCATCAGAGTGCTTCAGAGATGATTCATTCATCCATTATGTCTGCTGTGTCTCTTGAGTGTAGCTTCTGACTACTTTCTGAGACATATTCCAGTTATACTTCTGTTAGTTTTATAATATTTCCTGCCCAATTATGTAATTGGGGCACATTTTTTTATTTTATTCAGTGACTTAACTCTGAAGCCTCTGTTTATGTGAAGCAGTTATCAATACAGAAAAATGTAACTTTATAAACATGTTTCCTTTTCACTGATTTTGCTGGCAGGATGTAGCATTATTATCAGAAATCAGTATGTAGAACAGTACTGTAGCTATAATGTTAAGGCATGTATTGTAGTAAAGTCTTAATGTACCATAGCTGAACCTGTATCAATGTTTGAAGCTAGAATCTGTGTGTTAGAACATATGTCAGTATTTCAAAGAAGACACAACAGGAAGAATGCACTTGCTGTTCTGGCTGCAGTGAGCTATAGAAGCATGAATATTATTTGTTAAAAATACAAGGATTTTTGTTTTATTAGTATGTGATTGATATACACACATGCTCACATATATATTTGCAATTTAAGACCAATCATTTACAAATTATTAAAGGAACAAATTCTTGGAGTAATGATCATTTTCATGTCCTCTGCATGTACATTGGACATATTTTTAAAATATTTTACTTAGATCTTTGTTCTTTATCTCTCAAAAATGTTAAATTGTTGAAAATGTTAAGAGGTTATATATGCGTCACTTTTTGCAAGATATATAACTACAATGTAGTCTTCATTTCTTATTGTAGGCATCTGTCATCAGTTCTGGGGAATAAGTTTGACCATGGAGCTGAAGCCATTATGCCAACTATCTTTAATTTAATTCCAAACAGTGCCAAAATTATGGCCACTTCTGGTGTTGTAGCTGTTAGGTTAATCATTCGGGTAAGTACATTTTGTGACCATACGTAGAATAAACCAGTGGTAATGTTGTTGATTGATAAACAATATGAGAGGCATTTTTCATCAGAGCAATTATGTGGAGCTGGAAACATGGTCTAAATATTGTTCTCCCCTCTAATGATAGTTCCATCATGTGCATTAAGGATGCATTATGTAGTTCTTGACATGTTGATCATTGATTCATTGTTGGTTTTAAATATGTGACCATCTGCTTTTCAGTTTGTATATTTTATGTCCCCGTATGTGACTCTTACTGTTCCCTCCAGTCATTCTGTTTTTATGTATTTGCTTGTGGTCTTGTTATTCACCTAAAACTTTTATTTAACTAATTGCATGTAAGCCCAGAAGCAAATTATTCTCTTCAGTTAAGTTTTCTAAACACTTCTTTACATTTAAATGATTAACCTAATAATTACATAAGAGTTTCAATAAAACCTTAGTTCACACAGGCTTGAAATGAGAGTTTTTCGTATCACCACCTCGCACTTTCAAGTCCCTTTTCCCCAGAGGTAACCCTTGAAATTGGGGCTTGGTGATGTTAACTAAAATTTAGCTAGAATATGCTGATCGAGTGCCTTACTTAGTATTATTTTCAGTTTCTACTGCCAACTTCAAATATTAAACCTAAAGCCTATATAGGTCCACTGATCCCTTATGAACTCACACAGATCTGTATACTGTTTAGATGATTTAGACTTCATGCCAGTGATTTGTTTTGACTTTATAGACGCAGTTATGTATCATTAGGTTGCTTGTTTTGGCTCTGTCAATATATTTCATGGTCTATGGCAGCACTAATGAAATACATTTTCCTGTTAAAATTGAATGAAATTCTAATTTGAATATATATGTGCTCTAAATAGATTAATATGAAAGTTTTCTTAATTTTGTTTTATTTTTATATTTTCATGTGTTCACCTCTGTTTTCTGTTCTTCTCTACAGCATACACACATCCCTAGGCTAATACCTGTCATCACAAGCAACTGTACCTCTAAGTCTGTTGCAGTTAGAAGGTAAATTTTAAAATGGTTTCCACAATATTTGAATTATTTAGAAAACCAAAGCAAATTCCAGATTTCCCTCTATGGGAAAAAAGTTCAGGTTTGAATTGTTTGACATTATTTAAAATCACTGCGATAAAAGCCTTTAGATTGAAGGATCATAATCTAAATCTGAAAAGAAAATTTGCATGACTTTCTTTGTTGTTCATGTGTGTGTGTGAGAGAGAGAGAGAGAAAGAGAGAGAGAGAGAAAGAGCATGATTGTGTGCACATGCGAGCACAGGGAATTGGGTGGGTAAGGAAGAGGAAGAAAGGACCCTCACCACTGCCTCTACCAGCCCTGCCCCGTACATGTTTTCCTTGAGTAGTTCTTCTACCTACATCAGTGCTCTGTCCCCATATCTGAATGAAGATAGTAACTATATGCAATAAAAGATATTGTAAAAATTAATGGTAGTTATTTAATGTTAACATAATTAGGAGGAGATGCATGTTGTTTGCATCTTCTGATAGTGATTTCTGGAATTCTGTATCCTGAACAATCACTTCTCCAGCATGGTTATGGGAAGATATACCCAGAAGAAAGAACCTGGGTAGCTAGCAAGGACTTTGTTCCCAGGTCCTGGTCTTGTGTCCTGGTCAGTTTCTCCAGAGCCCATGAGAGTGTTAAGGCACTTCTCTTAGAGATGTGTTATTTTTCATTGTTGAATCAGTGTCTTTTGAGAATCTCTTAAAATCTGTGGACCCCTTTCCCTGGAAGATTACAATGCACAGGATAGTTTTCTATAGACTTCTGTGTGATTCATGGGCCTCCGAAAGCCACTCAATGGACTATATCAAGAACTCTGTAGGATAACTTAATGGCAGACCTGGGAGTAAAGAAATATCCATTTTCATAGTTATGATTCTTGATCCAAGACCAGTGAAAGCATCCTTTACTCTAAGGCTTAGAAACCTCTACTCTAGCTGACTCCTTTCCTAGGGTGTCACATTGGTCCTGCCAGATTTCCACAGGTTTGAGAACTTTCTTAGCATGATACTGCCCCCTGTCCATTTTATTAGCAACTACATATGAGAGGAAGAGGTAGAAAAAGGGGAATAATCAAATATGTAAAGCTAGGAAAAAGAAATTTGCTCCTTCCACTAAAAAGTCTAATTTCTAACTGCATGTCTCAATTTTTTATTGCTAAGGGATGCAATTTGCCCTTGATTCATAGTTCAGCTTCTCCTTGGGAGTGGAGTGGCATTAGCCCCCTGCTCCCCACCACCCTAAGTGAGGGTGTAAAATCAGCAAGGTAGAGGGATGATAGTGAATTTCAGAGCACAGCAGACATCTATTGATGCATTACCACTTCTCAGCTACTAATTACTGGACTGTTAGGATTGAGAGTACAATTGTGTACAGTTTTTTTTGTGGATTTAGTCATTTAAGTAAGACGCCTCGGGCACTTGGTAAAAGCCTAATTAATGGTAATCATTATTAGAATTTGTTGCGGCTGCTGCTTTTATTATTTTCCCTATTGTTTTAGGTTTCTAAGAGATATTTAGAATGTGTTTTCCCTCTGAGTAAGGCAGAGTTCCAGTGAAGTGACACAGATCTTTGTTGTGGAACGTTGTAGGATGTTTAGTGTGTTAGTTGGCTTGGGCTGCCATAACAAAATACCACACATTGGGTGATTTAAGCAACAGAAATTTATTTTTTCACAATGCTGGAGGCTGGAAGTCTGAGATGGTGTTTGGGTTCTAATGAGGGTGGCTTGCAGAAGGCTGCCTTCTCGCTGTGTCCTCGCATGGCAGGGGCGTGAACAAACTCTGTAGGATCATTAATCTTAAGGGCACCAATCCCATTGTGAGGGCTCCACCCCCATTACCTTCTCTGACCCCAATTACCTTCTAAAGGCTCCATCTCCTAATATCATTACATTGTGGGTTAGATCGTTATAGAGGCAGGACTGGACATAGTGCAGGTTTTCTGATCCCATTCAGACCGGGTAAAGGAGGAGTCAGAGTCCTCAGTGGTTTTGCAAGTCTTTTATTGGGGTTCAGTGGGTACGTGGCAGGCAGGGGTGCTGGGGGGCTGGGAGGCTGGCAATCCTCCCAGCCCCCAGCAAATCTTCACTCTATCTGGGCTCTCTGGCATTCTCTGCTTCTGCTTCGGACTTCTTCTCTTTTGGCTTCTACTGGCATCCCCATGACACCACCCTTAAAAAACACAATCTTAGCACAGGTGTACCTACTTCAGGTGCCCGCCATCAGGCATGCATTCAGGATCACAGGGTTCCCTCATCTATCCTGATGGCGGGAGGGCAGAAAAGCCTGATTTTTTACCTTACCCTACAATCGTCAGCCAAAGAATTTTGGGGGAACACTCCATAGCATTTAGCATTTCTGGATTCTGGCGCTAAATAGGAGTGATGACCTGTAATCACTGGGATAGTGGAAATGCTACTTTCTTTAACAATTTCTGAACCACATACCAAGACTGCTGTTCTTGTATTTGTTAGAATATTAGTCAGAATTAGTTGCCTAATAGTGAGAGAAATAATAGGGACCATCTGACCTAGTCCTTCTGTCTTAGAAAGGTAAGAGAGCCAGCGAGTGCAGTGTAACCAAGGCAACATACTTTCTGTTATATTTTCAGTGTACCTATTTTGCTTTGAAGAATTTATAAGAAATGTATTGGACAAATTCCCCACTTGTTTTGAAACATTATCATTTAATTGGGAAGATTAAAAACAAGAATGTAAAACAGTGTTAAGTATAAGTGACAACACATGTATTGTGGATTTAGGAATTCAGGGGGGGCATTGCTGATATTTTCCCAAGAAATTTCGTGGTCAGAGTTGAAGACTGAGTTGTTTTGAATGACAAGTAGATGTAGGTGAAGAAAAGAAACAAAAATCCAGCCTAGGAAATGACTTGGGCAAGAGGGTAAATTAGAATAAGCATGACCTAGGTTGGGGCAGGGTAGGATAAATGAAGATTGCTTAGACTTTTGCACCATTGTTCTCTGTGGCTATCACCTGTGGCCTTGAATGCAGGAGGTGCTTAGAAGCATGGGCTCAGGTTATACATGCCTGATGGTGGACACCTGGAGTATGGTGTGGGCATGCATCAATGGGCACACTGGAGCCTGGAGGCTGAGCATATAAGGGCGGCATCACAGAGGACAGAGTGCAGCAAAATGGCGGCAGAGAATGGCTACGTGAGAACATCACAGAGTGCTCAGAGAGAGTAAAGATTTGGCGGGGGCTGGGAGGTCTGCCAGCCTCCTGGCCCCCTCACATGCCCTGTACCTGGATGCCTCAGTACAAATGGTGTGGAAAGATCATTAAAGGTCTGAAAAAGCCACTGAGGGCCCCAGGACTCTCCTTTACCCATCTGACCGGCCTTCTTGCCTGCTCTGCCCTGCTGCCTGCCTGCACTACAGGCAGGATGGGAAAAGTGACAGAAAAGGAGGTAGGCATAGAGCAGGTTCTCTATGATCCTCTGCAGATAGGTAAAGGAGCAGAGTCCTGGAGCCCTCGGTGGCTTTTTCAGGCTTTTATTGAGTTTACCAGATACCGGCAGGCAGGGGTGCTGGGGGGCCAGGAGACTAGGAGGCCTCCTAGCCCCCAGCAAATTTTCACTCTTTCTGGGCTTTCTGCCGTTCTCCTTCTCATAGTTCCGTTCCGTGACACCGCCCTTATAAGCCCAGGTGAGTCCCATCTACATATGCCCACACCCTACTCCCGGTGCCCGCCATCAGGCATGCATTCAGGACCTCAAGGATCCATCATCAATCCTAATGGCGGGAGCGCAGAAAAGCCTGACAATCATTTTCCCTACACTCTCTCTCCTTGGAAAGATTTCACTTGATAAAGCTCTGTGTCCCCACTGTTACCAGCCCAAAGCATGAGTTGAACAGCTTGCCTGCCTGCTTCTAGAGGCAGGCACATGGAACCTGTTTGTTGTCTTACTGGAGTGTCTTGGTTACCACCATATTTTGGAATTTAGCATAGGATAAGTATGGATTATGAGGTTTTGAATTGGAAGTATCACAGGAAAGAGTTCTGGTTGTGAAAGATTACCTTGAATGGGTTTCCAAGACTAATCAGGATTTACTGCTACAAAGAGATATCCTGGACTTCACCAAAAAAAGAAATTATAAAGAGGTGGCACTCAAAGTGGTGATGTAATACAAAGAAAATGAGACCAAAATTGTTGTGTGTACAGATCAGACCAAGGAAGAGCTCTAAAGTGAGACAGCTTGATAAGATATCGAGAGATTGAAGAGCGGAAACATAGGGAAGTAATTAGAGAAAAGCCTCATGTTAAGTTCCACCTACTACCTTCTTAGTAGGGAAATGTGCAAATTTTTAGGGTATTTTCAGCTGTTTTTGTACAAGGCAATTCTGTGAAATTAATGCAAATACCCTGATTCTGTAATATGTGTTGATTTCTTTTTATATACATCCTGTACTAATGTATTTGAAGTAGTATAATAGCAAATGACAGTGACAACCTTTCAATAGTTTTGCCTTGAAGCTCAAGTGTCTCATTTGAAGGGAACTTTTGTGTCCTATATCTGTATCGGTGATTTTTCTATATGAGTCATTGTAGGTAATTACATTTTCTTTGGTTTTCACTTAATTCTAATGTATGTTCCATTGTTCAAGTCATAAAAATTAGAAGAAATGTACCAATTGTAAAGAGAAATGTTGGGTTACTTAGGAAGAGCAAAGCTGTCATTTTCACTAGCATGCAAATTTTACTACATTGTGTATTTTTTTCTTTACAATTTTCAGGCGCTGTTTTGAATTTTTAGATTTACTTTTACAAGAATGGCAGACACATTCACTGGAAAGGTGAGCTTCTATTTTGCTGATTTTTATCTCTGCATTGAATCTTGAAGTTTAATGCCTGCATGAGTGATCTAAGCCACTTCCTATAAGAAATGGAAGAATCTAGGCTATTGTTCGCATGACTGTTTTTATGATTTCTGATGCTGTGAGGCACATAATATTGGCAAAAGTTGTTAGTGAATTTCATTGATTGAAATATTAGTGTGTCTCTGGTCTACAGTTGATCGTTGATTTTGATTTCCCATTATATCACTATACATTAATGCAGTATTAGTAATACTGTACTGTATGTTTGAAAGTTGCTAAGAGAATGAATTTAAAAATTCCTATTGGCCTCCCAGTGGTGCAGCGGTTGAGCATTGGGCTGCAAAGCTGCCTGCAGCCTCTGCAGTGCTGGTTTGATCCCTGGCCGCCGGCAAGGGTCCCACATGGCACGCAGACCTCTCCTGCCGCACCTGCTGCTCCCCTCAGCAGTGTACTTTGTCAGTCTGCCTGTTCTGCTCCCCGCTTCGGGTCTGGTGAATTCTCTCACGCTCCCGTGCTTCTGACTGTACCCAGTGCTTGTATAAATAAATAAATCTTTAAAAAAAAAAAAATTCTTATCACCAAAAAAAAAAAAATTGTAACTATCTGTGGTGATGAATTTTAACTCGCCTTAACGGTGATCATTTCATTATGTCAATATATACAGTGATCATTTCACTAAATAATGATATAATATATGTAGTGAGATATATATGTCAAGTTACTGAACTCTGCACCTGAAACTAGATAATATAATACTCAATCACATCTTAAAACAAGAAAATTTATGAAGAATTTAGCAGGAGACATAATATATAGAGTTGTAGTAAATTTTGGTTACTTGTATCTACAAATAAAAATGATTTTTGCATTTTGTTTTTGTATCCTAAAACCTTATCTAAATTTACTTATTTCAGTAACTTTTTTGGTAGATTTCCTAGGATTCACTGTGTACACAATCAAGTGACATGAATAAAGGCAGTTTCCCTGTTTAAAAAACAAAAAAAAGAAATATTAGTGTGACTGGAGATGTAAATTAATGGGCACTCACTCTGACAGTTACAAAGCCAGGATTGACTCTTTATTGACTGATCCTGCTGCACGATGTTCCTGTGCAGTTCCCTTTGGTAAATGTTTTAAGCTGCTCTTAGTGGAGAAGATATAACTCAGAGGTCCTTAAAGGAATTTCACTCACTTGAAAGTTTTCCTGATGTCTGTATCAAAAAGTCAGCATTTTTTTCTGTATTCAGGATGGTATGAGGTAATTTTCCATTATCATGACGAAAAGGAATTTGGCAGCATTCTTGAAGAAGCATGTCCTTTATTAATTTTGAGATCTATTCCTTGACATTTCCTGTCAATTTGGGGACAATAGATGATGATGTTGTACCACCCTGGGGTACAGGCCAGAAGCATGGGAGGGTGAACGGACTCACCAGAGACAGAGCAGGGATCAGAACAGGCAGACGGACTGAAAGCACTGTGAGGGGAGCAGCGGGCCAGACAGGAGAGGTCTGCCGTGCCATGTGGGTATCTCCCTGGCCGAGACTTGAACCCACACTGCAGAGGCTGTGGATAGCTTCATGGTGCTGCACTCAACCCGCTGCGCCACCGGGGAGGCCTGCCATTTTTTAGTAGTATCTAGTTTGGGAAGAGCTTTACAGCTTAAGTAATGTTTTATTAGTAGTGACATTTTAATAAATTGAGTACCCCTGGAAATCCCATTCCATACCCCAGTGATCAATGATGAAACAAAGCCAAGTTCTTCTACAGGTAAAATTTTCTCCAAAAATAGGAAATTTCATTTAGATTTAGAAAATAGTCACACTTTTTTCCCCTAATACTTTCTTGTCCATTAATCTCCTGGGTATTCTCTTTATTTGGTAAGAGTTTTGAAATTTAAAGGTAGAAAGTGGAATTTGGGATTTAATGTAGGGACAAGTGAGTAGAACAGACAAGTGTGAGGAATAAAGAACTCAAATGTGACCTCATTCACCTGCTTGCTCAGCGTCTACCACTTAGTGAGTGTTACTAAATATATATTGAATGGATGAAAGAATGAGGCAGAATTTTTGAAGAGCTGGTAAAATTGGTAACTACTCTTTTTTAGTGTAATTATTCATTCCAGTCATTTCCCTTTTTAAAAAACTGTTAAATAATGAGATATTTTGGTAATTTCTTCTCAGCTATGGTAGAATATAACTAGAAAGAATACCTATTTGTAAAATCATTCATGGTAATCAATAGTGGAACTTGAGAAAAACGTTCTGTTTCTTTATGGAAATGTGATACAGATAATTATAGTCTTACAATAATCAGTGTAAGATTATTATCTCTAATTTTTACAGAAACTAATTCTGGCCATGGAAAAATAGTTTTATTGTTTTGGTTCACAAAAGATTGAGCTAAATAAGTGAAGCCTGAAAAAAAGCAGCTGTTACTGAAAATATCTCATACAAGAGTAGGTTATCAGGTTACTTAGGTGGGGGAGGGATTGGGTACTGGCCCAGAATTAGAAGTGCAAAGATCTAAAAAGAAGAGTGTTTGACTTTCTCAGCTGCATATTAGTCAGTTAACTGTGGCATAAAGCTTCTACCTTCTACTTTGCTTTTGGAAGTTATTTTTCACACCTGTTTTAATCCTCATAACCCACATGTCAATGATTGTAACTGCTTTCTTTTCTAAATAATCTAGACACATATCAGTATTAGCTGAAACAATAAAGAAAGGAATACATGATGCCGATTCTGAAGCCAGGATAGAGGCCAGAAAGTAAGTGTTTATTGTAAACCACGTATTTTATTCACTGCTTTTATATTTCAGCTGCATTGTCTAGATCGCCGTATTTAAAAATCATTTTGTTACATGAACATGTTTCATTTGTCATTACTTTTAAATATGACCCTTGAAAGGCCATCTTGGACTGTTTCTTGAGGTTTTTTGTTTTGTTTTGTTTTGTTTTTAGTATTTTGTTTTAAAGGTTGTTCACTGCCCAGGCCTGAAAAATGGGATAATAGTATTTGAACACAGACGAGACTTAGGTAGACAGGAGAATGCTTATTTTCAAATTTATGAGAAATTATGTGAATCAGAAAAGTACTTGTGTATTCTCTGACTTTGCAAGCTCTTTTAAAAGCCAGCTGATCATCTGAAGTGACTTTGATTGAATTGAGAAATCACTATCACAGAGATCTTCTCCTTGTGATCACATCTTTGCAAGCTTCAGAAGTTGCTGGAGATCTGTGACTCATGTGCAGGGACTAGGCTTGAGCTGATGTTTGGGCTTATCAAGGTGCTAACCTGATGTTGTTATCTCACCTCTGTGGGAGTGTGGCCCTAGCCTGGTTATGCGCTAGTCCTACAGCTTCCGCCCCTACATTCAGTACCTCCTGAGAATAATTTTGCCATTGTAACTATAAATACCAGAAGCTGGAGGTGATACCATTTTTTTTCAGGCAGCGGGTAGACAAGTACTGTCAGTTTTGCATCTGTATCCGACTGCTTCATAGTTGACCGATTCTTTTAATTGATGTAGGTTGAAATTTATTCTTACTGGTCACCCAGAATATTGTTTACTTAACTGCATTGATACATCCTGCTCAAGTATTCATGGCTCTTTGTTCTCTCAGTTCAATTACATTTTCTTGGTTTCTGAATTTTTTGGAGGAAGTCACGATAACGCTGAAGTGCTTACAAGCTTATGTTGGGCAATTCCTTTTCTATATCTTTAGTCATAGATTTCTAGTAACTCTGAACATCTTTCCATTTTCTATTTGTGTGTTTTGTAAAGCAATTGCAAATATTTCAAATGAGTGAATGCCAAATTGCATTTATAAATGCTATCATTAATGAATGACTCCTTCCAAGGTTGTAGGTGTAGTTCTAGATGTTTCAGCTCCATCCTCAGAATTGTAAGTTAGGCCTTTTATTTTCCATTTTCTAAATGACACTGAGATTTAGCAAAGTTTTGGAGTCAGGATTCCTACCAGGCCTCTTTTGTCCATACTCTCTTCCTGTACCATGTTCCTTCTATCAATAGTATCAGGTAAACTGAGAATTTTAGTTTTTGACGATGTTATATGGTATACTCCAGAGCTCAGCAAAATAGCTCTTTTGATCTACTGCCTCTAAAAGGAAGCTGTTTGTCTTCCCTAGGTGTTACTGGGGTTTCCATAGTCACTTCAGCAGAGAAGCAGAGCACTTGTACCACACCTTGGAATCCTCCTACCAGAAAGCTCTGCAGTCACATTTGAAGAACTCAGACAGCATCGTGTCTTTGCCGCAATCCGATCGCTCATCTTCTAGCTCTCAAGAGAGTCTGAAGTAAGAAATTCATCCGTATTTTTTATTAGTGAGATTTTATATTTAAAAAGTTGCTGCACAAGAAAACATTGCACATAAATTTAAGCTATGTTTTTTACATATTGTGTGCCTATCATAATTCCCCTTTACCTCAGTTGGATTCTGGCACTAGGTTGAAGTAATAAGAATGAAGTGGCATTGGTCTCTACCACAGGAAGTTTTTAGATAAATTTATATGGCTGTCCTAAAATACAGTTTTAGAGTAACATAAGTGAATTAGTCAAAATGTCTTCTAAAAGAATGTGTTAACTTGAAGATTGGTTGGACAGGAAAAGCATTCAAAATCTGGGACTTACTGTTTTATCATCTTCACTATTTCCCTTTTCCTAGTGATGACTCCTTTTGTGTGTTTGAAAGATTAGTCCAAAATCTAAAATTTTTTGTGAAATTAGGGGTTTAGAAGATTGTGCTCCAAATTACCTGTATTCATTTCTTCACTATCACAATTTCCTGTTGTAAATTGTACTTGTATTAATGCAGATAACATATACATTTGAGGAAAAAAAACCAGATGTATACCTTTATTTTTAGCCGGCCGCTCTCTGCCAAAAGAAGTCCTACTGGAAGCACCACCTCTAGAGGTAAGAACATAGCTGTGGGCGGGCAGTCAGGACGGCTGAACCAGTGCCCTGCTTTCAGGGCCCTCTCAGGTTGGCAGAGGGGTTGGCTCTGCTCTGTGCTCTGACTGTCCCCAGCAGAGCTCCCCTTCTTCAGAGGGCAGACCCTGCGAGGAGTGTCAGGATAGCTTAGGTGGAAGAATAGAGCTCTGCCACCCGCCTCACCCCTGAAACATGTGGCTAGAACTGCTCCTTCACTCTGATCAACTGACAATTGAGTGACACAACTGGGATGCTTTCAGCAGCAGCTTGGGGGCTATTGAGGTGGGAGAGTGAAAAGATTCCTGAAAGGGGAGGGCATCTGGGTAAGAGTGTACATTTTTGCCACATCATGAGGAAATTGACTAGATGTCGACAGTTTTTCATTCTTTCGCTTTTCATATGAACCAGAAATGTGATCCGTTCCTCTGGGGTTAGCAGTCTGTGATGATAAGGAAACAAATGTAATTGGTGCATATAGTTGCTTATAATTTCCTTCAGCATTGCCTGACCTGTCTTCAGTGACCTCTAAGAGAAACCCAGTGCTCTTAACTTTAATCAACTTGTTTTAAAACTCGATATTGTTTTCAAGAAATTCAAAACACATTTTGACAATGTATGTGAGAATTCCAGGATGATCCTTACTAATGTTTCCTCCTTCAATCGCTGAAGCTTCAACAGTTAGTACCAAATCTGTGTCAACGACTGGGTCCCTCCAGCGGTCTCGAAGTGACATTGACGTGAATGCAGCAGCCAGTGCCAAATCCAAAGTCTCCTCAGCTTCGGGCTCTACACCTTTCAGCTCTGCAGCGGCCTTGCCTCCAGGATCATACGCATCCTTAGGTAACTACAGAGCCAACACCTTTCCTTCCCAGTCCTGCTTTAAAGAGAGACAACGCTTAATCTCTGCTCAAATTTACCTATTTAACAAATTACAAAAAAACTGTAATTGAAAAAGTATAAATGCATGGGTGATACTTAAGTATAAGTAACTTTGTCCACTTACTGTTGGCCACCAGTCACTCTCTGTTACGTATGTCCTCTCTCTGGGCAGTCATCCTTTTGGTGATTAAGGAAGCACACTGGTGTGCATGTGCTGTGGCGCTGGGCACACCCTGCCTTAGCTTCACCTCCCTTTCATGGTAACCCAGTCAGTACCTGAGACACCTCCTTTGTCACCAAAGCTGGGGTTTCTCCCCTGCTAACATTGGTGGGAGCAGAGCCAGAAGATGTTAGTGAGGGATTCACCAAAGACAGTCATTGCAGCTCAGTAGTTCCCACTCTGAAAATGTAAAAGGAGTGGGAGAGTTTGGAGGTTGGAGTAGGGGGTTCTCTCAAGGGGAACATGGTGGACTTATTAACTATCGTGACCATGTCTGTGTGAAAGAGCAATGTCCCCTTAGGAGGAGCATATGCTGACTCTCACTATAGCCCAAAAGATTAAAAAAATTATTTTCAAAAGAATTCTTATCTGGCAGAGTAGTAGGTGAGTTTCTCAGCAGATACTTAATACCTACTATGTAAGGTCGATAGTTTATTTCATTGTGTTTGTAAGAGTCAGGTTGTTCAAAATCAAAATCTGGTAATTTATCTGGATTGGTTTTATTTTGGACTTTATGGAAACGAATACAATTTAAACTTCATGAAATAATGAGACTGAATAAAATACTTAGGTATTTTATAAACAAATTCTGAAGTCTAAAATGTTCTAGAAATGTTTTAAGCATGGAAACATAGTGAGGTATTACAAAGAGAAGATGCCTGGATCTCTTATTTACGAGCTTTCTGACCTTGAGCAGGTCATGGACTGTTTGATTCTGTTTTTATTATGGCTAAACAATTGTAATAATAGCCACCTATTTCAGATTCATGATAGAGATGGGGATCAGTGAAATTATTTTAAAGTCCTTGGTGTACCTTATTATGCTTTGAAAACAAAAGAAGCTGATTCTGATAAGAACATTATTAATTTAAAAGGTATATGATCTAGAAAATTTGTTAAATCAGTCAGTTTTTCTCCCTGGGAATAACTCATACAGCCATACATTTCAGTTGGGAAGAAACCCAATGAAACCTCTCCTTTTCTCCCCTTTAACTATTGTAAAATGACCTAGGAGTGTTCATGATATTATGTTAAGATATAATCACTGAGAAAGGGAGAAGTCAAAACTTTTCTGTCCTATAGTGAAGTTCTATTAATTTTAGTTAAATTTTTAAGTATGTATTTGTGTTTCAGTATATTTGATCAACTTTCAGTACCTGTAATTAGTATTTGTTTCTAGTCTTTAACTGTATTGAAGACAAGTAAGAACCAGCTTCTATAGTAGTCAGTAGTCTTTGTTTTTCTGTGCATATGGGCATGTTTTAATATGGACCATGCAGACTCCCTTCAGTGCTGGTAATAAGCACTGAAGTCTCTTGGTCTGATTATTAAGAACTGACCTTTTAAACACACTGATGATAAAGTCAGCCCAGAGTTACCTCTTCAGATAATGAGATTAGAATATTCTAATTCTTCACTGTTTCTTGAAAATTCTCTACTTTCCTTTTGTCCCAAAACCCAAAACCCAAAGACCTGAAATGTAACAGTCCTATTGAGAAATGTTTACAGTTAACACTTAGGCTGACAAACTACATCTGTGCAGAAGAGTACCGTACCATTAAAGCTGATGATCCTTTCCAAACTTCTAGAGTCCAGACACATGAGGGAAGATTTGGAGTCCATAGGCCTTGATGCAGGTACCATGCTGTCCAGCTTTTGCTGCTCGACGTGTAGTGGGAAGAGGTGTTGTTAGAGCCAGCTTCTTCAAGCTTCTTCCTTGCCTGTCCTTTGGGTGACTCTTTAGTACTTTAGTTTCTGGTCTCCCTTGCCCCTTCTGCTAATACTTTGCCCTAAGAAGAAGGAACCTGGAAGAGGATGGTGGTTGGCGAAACAAAAACTGCTTGTAGCCACTGAGGCTCTCCCTGGTTGCCCTTTCTCGTTTCCAAAAGCACATTGTAATACTAAGCTGATTTTGAGACAAGGCACACTGACTTGCTTCAGACTCTGCTTTGCTGTCGAACTTGTTTTCCTTTTAATTTTATTTTAAATTGTACTTTTGCTTTTTTCAGTAGCTAATAACATTGTGCTTTTTAATTCTTTTAATGTTACTAACTGTTCCCTGTTATCCCTTCCCTTGTTTTTTAATTTGCTTAAAGATGGTTCTGCCACTAAAGCGGAGGGTAAGCGGTTCGTTTCTGTGACTGGGGTGTGTCTCCCTTCCCTGGTCCCTGTTCTCACTGCCGTTGCCTGGTGTCCACATCCTCGCCGAGGCCCCTGCATGCGACGCTGCACGCTGCCACCGCACTCTTCATGGCGTCTCCCTCCCCCTTCCTTCCTCAGTCGTCGTTTTGTGAGCTTGGTACTTGAGTGTGCGTCTGCGGTTTTCAATCCCGAACCCACACTGGGAGGGAGCACTGGTGTGCCGTCTGTGTGACTGTCCTCTTGGGCTGCTTGTCTCAGATTTTATGACTTCTGAAGCACCACCTGAGCTTTCGTTTCCCATTGTGTCCTTCTTTTTTGTGCTTTTGTGGGCCTCTTACGATTTGCCTTTCCTGTTCTGAAAAGAAATTTTCAGCGTCAGTGATTCAGGTTAAAGGCTGTTTGAGGTTTTCTACCAGGTAATTTACAGAAATTTTAAAAATGTAATTTTCTCTCCAGAAGATGCTACTGAATTACACCGTACCATTTTTATCTCTATTACTGACACATTTACTTACTGTCATTCAGATAAGAAGAGATTGCTTCACTGGGATCAAAATATGATTTTGGATACTCTTAATTAAAAATTCAGGCAACACATTTGAATTCTGGCAACTTCATTATTGTAGTTATTTATTGTACACATCAAGGAGTCAAGGAGTCCTTCTAATATTTATGACTGATGAGAAATATTTTTTTTTTTTAAAAAAAAGATTTATTTATCTATTTATTTATTTATTTATTTATGCAAGCATTGGGTACAGTCAGAAGCGCGGGAGGGCGAGAGAATTCACCAGAGCCAGAGCGGGGAGCAGAGCAGGCAGAAGGACCGAAGTACACTGCTGAGGGGAGCAGCGGGCGGCAGGAGAGGTCTGCGCGCCATGTGGGACCCTCCTCCGGTGGCCAAGGAGCAGCCGGGGATGGAACCGGCGCTGCAGAGGCTGCGGGCAGCTTTGCAACCCAGCGCTCAACCACTGCGCCACCGGGGAGGCCGAGAAATATTTTTTTTGTAAAGAACTGACAGCTTCACTTTTGGATAAAGCTTATATTCAGGTTCCCTTTCAGTGAGGTATGTTCAGTAGTATTTGAGATTTGGAAGAAGGAAGTATTTAGGAAATGTGTTATTTACAGTGCTAGAAGGACTTTAGAACTAACAACCACTGATAGTTTCCAAGAGTAGAAAATCATTTGTTTAGTGTAGTCAAAGGTTAACTATTGGTGATTTTATTTATTTATTTTTTTAAAGATTATTTTATTTATTTATCCATATAAGAGCTGGGGCATAGGCCAGAGGTGCAGGGGTGGAGGGAGGGTGAGAGGATTCATCAGAGACAGGGTGGGGAGCAGAACAGGCAAATCTACTGAAATACACTGCTAAGGGGAGCGGCGGGCAAGACAGGAGAGGTCTGCTGCGCCATATGTAGGTTAGCTCCCTGGCAGGGAATCAAACTCATGCTGCAGTGGCTATTGATAGATTCATAGTGCTGATACTTAACCCATTACACCATCAGGAAGGCCCTATTAGTGATTTTAGTTAAGATTACACAATAAAAACTCAGTAGTCTTGTCTGCTTTTCAGGAAAAGAAACTTTAGAGTTTAAGTTTTAGTAGGAAATAAAACATTTGCTACAGTTAGACATATTTATCTAAGAACTCTGAATTTTAAGTAACTGACCTTTCTACAATGAAAAATATATGTATATAGAAGTGAAAGTATTAAATATCCTTTATCTTTGGCTTTAAACAATATGGAGAAATTTATTCTTTTGGGACAAGTGCTTGTAGGCAGCAGCAAAATTTACATATGATCATTACCCAAATTTTGATTTTATCAAAAATGCCATGTATGAGAGAGGTTGGTTTAGTTATGTCCCCAAACTGTGAGTTATAAAAATATGTATGTATGCGACTGAGGTCACAGCTGAGATATACCTAGTGGACCTTTTAGTTATTATAATCTCTAAATTGAGAATTGACTACACTGCAGTTTTTCAACATGGGAACTGAAAAGCTCTAGTGATGTGAGACTATTTAGTGATTTTTTTGATAATTGTTTTAAGTTAAACTGAATGTGGGAAAACCATGCCTACAAGTTAAACCCCATGGTTAACAGGTTCAGTTTCCTGATTAGGGAATTTTCCGGAAGAATGGCAGTGTGATTGGAAAGAATTCTTTAGCAGTCCTGTTTTTAAACAGTGAGATGAGGATATTCTTTATTTCATGAAAGTCAAAATCTGTGCTCCTCTCCTGTTCTTTGTTTTCCTTTGGCTCTGCTTTTCTCTGGCGAGGTAGTCTGCTGGGTTTGTTGTATAGTTCTCTAACATCTCTTATTTCTATTTCTCTTAGTTAAGCTATTTTCTTCTTTCATATCTATCTTTTTCTTTGTTATAACACAGTATAAAAATATGAATATCATTAACAGGTCATAATACAGAACTGAAATATATTTTTACTGTTTCTGTTTTTACTGAGTAGACTGTGTTTTCACAAAAGGCCATAGTATTTTGTATCATTTCTTTAAAACATATATAAAGGCACTTAAAATACTATCACCAAATTAATAGAATGAAAAAAAAAACCTCAAACTCCCTTCATATAAAAG